AAATGGACATCAATTTTTTTAATTTAAGCAGGGCCACAATTTTTACAGTGTACTAGAGATCCTTCCTGCCCAAAGCCATCAGCATCTATAACAACTCTTTAATGAAACCAGGATGAGCTACAACAACAATTAATTGCCCTTAGGGATTAATACAGTATTTTTTTTAATTTAATTGCATTGAATTAAAAGCTAAAAGAAAATATCAAAAGACTAGCTAAAAGCTAAAGTATCAAAAGGGTAACTAAAAGTTAAAAATAGCAAAAGACTAAAGTAGAAGGTATCAAAAGGTTAAATAAAGGCTAAAAGCAGAAAAGGCTGACTAAGAAAAAATAACATAATATCAGAGTCTGTCTTGACTTTTTCTTTCCATTCCTTTTTCAGTTGCTTGTATTCAAGCTGAGAATTCATTTAAACGCAGGTTGTAAGGCAACCAAATAAAAAGAACACCAAGGGGTTGAATACTTTTGCATCTTAATGTAAAAGCCAACATTTTTCAGTCAGGTCATCTGGACAGTTTCTTTTTTTTGTGCTGAAACGTTTCGCCTTCGATCCAGAAGGCTTCATCAGTCAAGGAAACACACAATAAAACTGATTCTTCCCCCAACAGCTTACTCCAAAGTGGAACAAACCAGTTCTGCTTGTGATAAGATGGTCTCTTTCCTCCTCCATTGCCAGCCCTCTTCCTTTTTGACAGTCTTGTCAAACTGGTTGAAAACAACAAAGTCCATGCTCAGTAATCCAGGGATAAAATCCAAGGCTTCAAGCCTTCTGGATCGAAGGCGAAACGTTTCAGCACAAAAAAAGAATCTTTCCAGATGACCTGACTGAAAAATGTTGGATTTTATACCTGGATAATTGAGCATGGACTTTGCTGTTTTCAACCAGTTTGACAAGTCTGTCAACAAGGAAGAGGGCCGGCAATGGAGGAGGGGCGTACCAAAGAGACCATCTTATCACAAGCAGAACTGGTTTGTTCCACTTTGGAGTAAGCTGTTGGGGGAAGAATCAGTTTTGTTGTGTGTTTTCTTGACTGATGAAGCCTTCTGGATCAAAGGTGAAACGTTTCAGCACAAAAAAAGAAACTGTCCAGATGACCTGACTGAAAAATGTTGGATTTTATACCTGGATTATTGAGCATGGACTTTGTTCTTAATGTAAAAGGTTTGTTCAAACTGCTGCAGATGATCTACTGGGGATCTCGTTTTATTGTACAAAGATG